TCTCTCTCTCTCTCTCTCTGTGTGTGTGTGTGTGTGTGTGTGTGTGTGTGTGTGTGCATGTGGCCTCGAAGATAGGTATATGGGATGTCTTGAAATAGGTATATGGGATGTCTTGAAATGGTGCGTATCTGTATGAGACGAAGGGAAGAGTTTATTATGGTATGTCGTACATGCTTGTGTCCGAGACGTCTGTCAGAGGGGTGGTTCTTGGCAGAGAGCTTTTTATATGTACTTGTCTGCTTGATTGATAACTTGGGGAATTTTTCGTGCTTTTCTGTGGTTTGTCGATTATTGCTGCGTGTGTCAAGCAGGTAAAGAAGGGTCCTTACCTTTCAGGTTGATGCAGCTGGTTGTGGCGGTTGTCGTTTCTTCGGTGATGCTCGTCCTTTTTTGAGCTCTTGCCGTTTATTTCTTTCACTTGTCGACACGTGTTGATGGAGGTCAGTGTCCTTATCTTCTCCCTCCTGCGTCCAGATTCGTCTGAGATTTCTATTATTATTTTTGTTTTTTAAGAGACTGTGTTTGTGAATAATTTGGAGACCATTGGGCCTAGCTTAGATGGTATACCCACGGACTGCTGAAATGTGAATCAGACCCAAGTTCGAATCCAGATACAATCAGATGAACAGAGTACAGTAGCTATGATGATCATATCTTAATGCTGTTGCCCGTTGAAAAGAGAAAGCAGCATGAGGCCGCTAACATTTGTAATGTATCGGGACAGGTTTCATGTCCAGAGGCATTCGCCCCGTTTTTCCGATGGAGAGTGGTGCAACTAGTTCGTCGATGACGACACTTAAATGCATCTGGACAGGTCTCAATAAGAAATGCATCTTATTGATCGTAGCATCTCGTCAACAGCAGTTCAACATGAGACCACGCATGTGCAAAAATTATTATTATTATTATTATTATTATTATAGATATATTATATATTATATATTATATATTATATATTATTATTTTTATTAACTTATTATTATATATTATTATTATTATATATTATTATTATTATATATTAATAATATTACTATTTAATTCAACTTAGTTGACAAAAGACTGCTTGACGTTATGACGGAAAGAGGAGATTAGGCGCCCCGCCGCACCGCTCACGCAATGGCAACATTTTGAATGAATGTATCCGGACTACTTCCATGTTGTGATTCGTTCAGAATGTTGGCGTTTGGTACTGCGAGCCCCAAGGCACCTAATGAAGGAAGGGTAAAGATGAGCGAGCTTGTGACGTGATTTTTTTTTTTTTTTTGCATCGGCCGCCTTACAAGCACGGCGTAGTTGCACAAGGTTGCCATCGGCCAAGATTTGAATGCATCTGCACCTGAGATTTGCCCAGATGCATTCAAAATCTTGGCCGATGGCACCTTGTGCAACTGCACTAGGCCCTTACAGTGCCCGCGGGATTGATAAAAAAAAAAAAAACACGAGTTTGTCACAAGTAGATTTAATTAACTGCTCGTCTCTGCTGTGTGCTGTGCGCCTCACTTGTGACTCCAGATGCTTTCGGAGTGTTGCCATGCAGTCGAGATGCGCAATCCACAGCCTCTCTCTCTCTCTCTCTCTCTCTCTCTCTCTCTCTCTCTCTCTCGGCGTTGCTATTTATTCCACACACACAGGCAATGGTCGGCTGTACAGAGATGCTGTCGTGGCCGTGGTTTCGCCCAGCGTTCAGTCCCAACGTCGATATTGTTTTTGTCGGTGCATCATACGATCCGAATGACGAGTTTTGCAAGTCTCTTTGGCTAATGTCGAAGAGCACCAAGTCGTGATTCCTTGCAAACGGGGCGGCGATAATGGATGCGTGCATGGAATTGAGACCCAGCTTCATGGAGGACTTGCTTGTTCGGCGCAGAGACTTGTGTTTGTTTGCGCTGAGGAAAGCGGACAAGGGGACTGGGTGAGAGGGAGGGGGAGGGGGAGGTGGAAGATTAGTAGGAAGAGAAAAGTTATGGGTTGTAACTGCTGTGAGGTGCAGGTTGTGAGGCTGGCAAGCGAGCAAGCGAGCGACTTCGTTAGGAGGAAGGTGTTTGTTTGAGTGAAGAGCAAGAGTTGAAGCTTGAAACCGAGTGCTTGCAAATATATCGGGAAGATCATTCAACAAGGTGAAGTTGAGCGAATGGCCGTATATCGTTTGCAAGGGATCATCGTCAATAGATTGTGACTATAGATGTACAGGCGCACGAGAGTAGTAGTCTGAGTATAGTAGAGTAGGCGGTTAGGGTTAGGGTGGGGGCGGGGGGTGCGGGGGGGGGGTCAGGTGGGCTTGTTTGTTTAGCTGCTGCGTCTGTGCCGACGAGTTTTGGAGCGTTCTTTGGTAGTTTTCTTTCTGAGCCTTTTATCTCTGATGATCCATTGGTGAATTGCTTTTTTTTACCTTTTTTTTTTTCTTTTTTTTTTTCAGAGTTGCGTTTTATCTGATGATCCATCGTTCCTTCTTTTTTCTTTTGTTTAATTGCTTTTGAATTGATGTTTATCTGATGGTCCATCGTTCTTTCGTTTTTTTTTTCCGTTCCCCTTGCCTTGCCTCACAAGGGGATTTTCGTCAAGAATGCGGCACCCCCCTCTCAAGCGTGGAAATATGGAAACCATCTTCAGCCTTTTTGGGGGGTGTACCTTTGGGGGGTGTACCTTTGGGGGGTGTACCTTTGGGGGGTGTGTACCTTTTGGCATTGATTTGAGATTTTGGTAGTCTGCTGCACCGGGGGATTTTCTACAAGAACGCGTTTAGTTTGAGCATTGATCGACCTCAGTTCAGTTTGCCTGGTAGGCATGTTCTTTGCCCCTGTACCCCATCGCCAGAGGAGAAGATCTACCACCACCCTCAATCCCTAGATATCGTTTGGAGGAAGCCTTTATGTTTAGCTTTCGTAGGGAATGTGATGGGGTTGGTTTTGGGGGGGAGGGGTGTGTGGTGTG